ATAGCAATAGCGATAGCAATAGCAATAGCAATAGCAGTTAGACTTATATACCGCTTCATAGGGCTTTCAGCCCTCTCTAAGCGGTTTACATAGTCAGCATATTGCCCCCAACAACAATCTGGGTCCTCATTTTACTCACCTCGGAAGGATGGAAGGCTGAGTCAACCCTGAGCCGGTGAGATTTGAACAGCCGAACTGCAGAACTAGCAGTCAGCTGAAGTAGCCTGCAGTACTGCACTCTAACCACTGCACCACCTCGGCTCTTCAACCTCAAACTGTCTGCTGTGGACCTCACCCCATTCCTAAGAGGTCTGTAAAAGGGGTGTGCATAAGCGCACCAGCTTGCCTTCCATTCCCTGTCCTACTGTCTCCATTTATTTGTACCCATTTCCTGTATTCTTATTCATGTTTATTCTTATTCCTCTTATCTTATACACGAGTGACAAACTAACTAACTAACTAACTAACTAACTAACTAACTAACTAAAATAAACTCTATTATTCTATGTGGTCTGTGGAAAACCCAGCTAGATGCAGACCCAGGGTTTCCTTCCAATACCCCCAATGCCCTCATTTCTGCCACATCATGACTTCGTTTGAAGCCCTCGAGTGCCTGCATACCCCTTTTCTATGCCATTCTGGTTGCTCTTAACATGGGCTTAGTCCAGCTGTGGATTCTGCCCAAAGAGATGACAACGTGTTAGCGATGGCTTTAGAAAACAGATGGGACCCATTCACCCTTATGTGATAATCTTAGCCAGGAGAGTAGGAAATTGTGTCCCGGGGCTTTATTGATATCCTCGTCGCTCTCGGTAAGAAGAAAGGGGTTTACCCATGTTGACAGTCGGGCTTCAATTGACGGAGGGGGGGCAGAGGCCTGGATGAAGGGCCAGACTTTCATCTCTGATCTCTTGTCAACTTATATCGGATTTAGGGCGCTTAAATCAGGCTAGGGAGCACGAGGCTGCCAGTGGAGATTGGTTGCCTGGCAAAATGGACCATCCGTGAATAGAAACAACAATGAATGCTGAGGGCTATCCTGTTTCCCTGAAAATAAGACCTCCCAGATAATAAGCCCAATCGGGCTTTAGAGTGCATATGCTAAAATAAGCCCTTCCCCAAAAATATTGCAACACAGCAGCAGCCATGAGGTGACCACGCTGCCTCCTGCACCTCAAAAATAATAAGGCCTCCCTGAAAATAAGGCCAAGCACTTATTTAGGGGGTCAAAAGAAAATAAGACCCTGTCTTATTTTCGGGAAAACGTGATACAGAAGAGGAAAGAGCAGTTCCTCTCACACCTTGTGAAGGAAGTTAGCCCCCACCCCTCTCCTAGAAGAATGAAATATTTTAGGAAATTTAAAAAGGCAGAATATTGTATTTCCCTGGATGAGAAAAGATGAAACAGGTTTTAAAAGATAACTAGCCAATAATCTGGCATTGCCGACTCTAGGGGACGGTGCTCATCTCCATTTCAAAGCCAAAGAGCCAGCGCTGTCCGAAGACGTCTCTGTGGTCATGTGGCCGGCATGACTCAATGCCGAAGGCGCACGGAATGCTGTTCCCTTCCCACCAAAGGTGGCTCCAATTTTTTTCTACGTGCTTTTGAAGTGCTAGTTGGCAGAAGCTGGGTCAAGGAGTGGGAGCTCACTCTGTTACGTGGCACTAGGGATTCGAACTGCCACCCTTCCTGATTGACAAGTTCAGTGTCTTAGCCACTGAGCCACCGCGTCCCTCACAGGAACCATTAGCCCTACTCAGGTGACCCTGAGGATACAGATAAGCCTCCAAGGATGCAAATGACCAGTTGTCTGAAAAGAATATAAATCCTTCCATTCTCCACCATCCAATCAGAGCCGAAGAAGCTTCTTGGAGGAAAAGTGTAACATCTTCAGGGGGAAAAAAAACAGAAAGTCCAGTTGCCTTCTGAAAAAGCACCTTTGGGACCAAGTAAAAAAGCTTACTCTTTTCTACATTGAATTTCATTTTGTGCCATCTGCATCTTGAGACTATCATCTGGGGCAGGGGGCAGCAACCTGTGACTCTGGAGCCGCCTGTGGCTCTTTCACCCCTCTGCTGCGGCTCCCTGGAACTCAACATATGCATCACAACCGCCAATATGTGACACCCGCCAGCATGTGATTTATTGAGTTTTTCAACCCCCGGTAGGCCAACCATGGATAAATCCAAGAACAGAAAAGTTTCAGAAGAAAACAGAATGTTTAATTCAACTACATTTGCTAGTTTTGTGGCCACAGGAAATAGTCAGGCACGGGAAGGGTTTTGTGGCTCCCGGTGTTTTCTTTTCTGTGGGAAATGGGTCGAAATGGCTCTTTGAGTGTTTAAGGTTGCTGACTCCTGATCTGGGGTGTTGGCTATTCCTGCCATCTTAGCATCATCAGAGAACATAGATTCTTCCTTGGGCAGGGTCAAAGAAGGAGAAAGATGCCCAAGAGCCCTGTGGGTTCCTGCCTGCCCACTCTCCAACCTTCCCTGCCCTCAGCCTTCTCCTCCTTTGGTTGTGAAACTCAAAACACGAGAACCATTTTAATGGAGGACTATTTGAAGCTAGGCTGGGCTCCTGGACACTTTGACCTTTTGGACAAGCTAAATTTGTTCTTCTGCAAACAAATCACATTATTTATAGCTGCGATGACAGGCCGTTCAGGGCAGTGAGGGCCTGTGGTCCAGTGGGAAATGCGCACTCCATCCAACCCCTGAAAATGAGGGGCACCGATTGGACCCAAAGGTAATGAACTATGATTGACAGTAATCCCAGCTAAAGAGGCCGGGATTAGCTGGCTGTCATTACAACAGACCCTCGTAACTCAAACCAGCTGCTGTTCTGATTGATGGTGGGATTTGGAATTGCTGAATCCCCCCCGCCCCGCTTGGCACAGCAGGGCACAGAGCATCAGCCAGGCATAAATAAACCTGCAAAGGTTATTTGACGGTTCTCAGTATCAGTGCCTCAAGGAGTCCTGCTACTACTACTCACACCTTCCTGGTACGCTTGGGTACCATACCCCCTAATCCCCTTCCCCATCATAAGGAAGCCAGTTGGAACAAAATGGCACCTGACTGGGATTCTTACTGTAGATAGTGCCAGGTTGAACAGATTGTGGTGTCAACCCTGAAGCTGACATAACTGAAGTCATTTTGAAGCTTCTGTATTGACACACTGGAGCGGAGGGATAGAGAGGAGGGAAGAGAAATAGCTGGTGTTTTGTAGCCAAAACAAAATACTTTCTCCTGGGAACTAAGGACATTCCCACAGGTGGCCTGAGAGAGGAGCAAAGTTACCAAGCAACCAGATGACACCTTGATTGGACCATGTGACTGATCATTTGGAGAAGGGGGGAAACTTTTAATTAGGTGAAAACAGCTGGAACTTTCAGAGTCGGTTTTCCCCAGGTTGTGCCAATACAATATTTTCAGTATTCTTTGAGGAATCTACCTGCCTCGGAGTTGTGTTTGCTAGGGATATATTACTTAGAATCCTGACATGTGAGTTAGGGAATCATGGAACTGAAGCCAGAGGAAAGGGCTGAATATAGGAGGTCCCATCCTCTTTCAGCCCACAGTTTTGTGTGGAGCGCATCACGATGAGGCTAGGGCTGGGTCGTCCTTCCCAGGGAAGAGGCATAACCTCTCCAAAAACTCTGTGGTGTCCCCCTTCAGCGCATCGCAAGTGAACAGGAACAGCTGGGGCCATAGATTAAGCACTAAAGATTTGGGGCCATGTGATTTCAGAATAACAGAATGATAGAGTTGGAAGAGACCTTGAAGGTCTTCTGGTCCAACCCCCTGCTCAAGTAGGAGGTCCTAGTCCCGTGATGGCAAACCTATGGCATATG